TATTTCCTAATTTTTTATGGTGGTTGCTAGATCCGTCCAATCTACTGAACCCATACAGAGATTAATTACTGAAAACAACAGATAAAATATAAAATTTTTTCCCTAAGAAACACTTAATAACTATCTGGACATTATAAAGATTTTGCATGTGAAATTTCAAAATTTTATGATGCATAATAGTATTTTTAATCTTAAAATAAATATTACTTTGCATGACAGATAGGCAACATGCAAAAAGAAAAAAAAAAGATACGAGAAAAACATTGCTTTACAAACCTTAAGACTTAATAAAAAATTTGAGATTTTACATATTAAAGCATTGTAATGTTTACTGATAATCTGCCAAATTTCATTAACAGTCACTTACAAATTTAAAAGTTATAGTATGAAAACTATAATAAGCACAAAATGGTTATGAGGTCAGTCCCAAGGACCGAGCCTGTGCTGAAAGAATTAAGCGATTCATGAACTGGAAAAGTATCATAGAAACTGGAAAGTTTGACTTAATGGACAGGAGAAATATTAGCTACTACATATACCTTTCGGTACATTAATAACAAGTCTAGGCTTTGTATAACTACCTAAAATTATCTCAGGCACATGTTTTTCACTGTGTTTTTAGATCTGGTTGACACTCACCTTCAGAAAAATAAAAAGCTCGAGTTCCATCCTGCCTCACATAAAAGTTCTCCGATAACTTGTGTCCTGGAGAAAACCTAAGCATAGCTTGGTCATACAATCCATAATCTCGAAACAAAACCAAACCACCTGGCTTCAAAACCTAAGAAAACAATATTGTATTTTATTTTGATGTTGCTTTTAGTTTGTAATGAAACAAGTAAAAAAAACTGACAGAGTGTTTATAACAACCACTTATTTTTAAATGGTATGAGTACATTATCAATGAAATTTTAAAAGCAGAGTGACATTCAGCAATACTAAAAGGTTCTCTGCTTACATCAGTCAGTCTAATGTTGGCCCACAATTTAAAATTTTAACTTTTAACAACTGGGGTACTTAAAATCATTAACTGCAAACGTGAGTCAAAATGTAGGACCTAAACAAAAATAGCTGATAGCTGAATGTGCTACTTGCCATGAACCAATACAGAAATATAACTAATTACATTATATACAATTAAACCCACTGTATTATAGTCATCGTTATAAGGCAGAAAATATGTTGTTGTTCATACATTCTATTTGATAATGCAACATTAGCACTTAATATACACCACACACAATACAATCAAAACTATATAAATGATACAAATATATTATCATCATTATTTAATTGCAAAGTTGCAATACAATACTCTGTTATTACAGGATTCTGATGCCTGATGAATTTGTACATACAATTAAACCTAATTCTGTTGTTGTTGTTTGTTATTAAGCACAAAGCTACACAAAGGGATATCCGTGCTCTGCCCACCACGGGTATCAAAACCCAGTTTCTAGCAGTATAAGTTCACATACTTACCGCTGTATCACTGGGGGGTGGGGGGTTTAGGCTCCTAATACTGTTAAAAAAAATTCCTAGAAAATGTATTAGCTCAAATGATTTCACTTTCTGTCCTCAAAATAAAAGTTAGGCTATTTATTTTCTGACACAGATCTAAATAAACCAATTCTGTTCTGGCTAACCCTAAAAATGAAAATATACAAGTTCTAAATTACTGGCATAAGCCTAAAGAAATGAATTCCTAGTTTAGATAAGCTCTTGAAGTGTTAAAGGTACCTACATATACTCTGCAATAAGATGTAAAAAGTTAAATACCTGTATTGACCAATTTTAGAAGAGAGATAGATACAATCTTTAAATTCCTTGAATATTTCTAATTAAAATTAGCCTTGGAAGTTATATGAAACAGCTTATGCAATCTTGATTCAGATCTACAGAAACAAAATATTAGTGAATTTAAGTAATACTAGCTGATTTACCTGTTAAATGCCCAGGGATGATATAGGAGGTCATATCCAATGCTAACCACATATATAATTCCCTGGGTGGCCCTAAGGGTACACGCTTGGCAACAATTGATTCAATGATTTGCCAGTTATAAGCAGACACACACACACACATATTTTGCCAAATATTGGTTTATATACAACAAAATATGTATACTGACTTTCCTCCCCTAGGTGGAAATAGGAGTATATTCCTCAAAGATCATCTGCCACCCTCGTAGAGACATACATATAGCTTTTGCTTCACAGCACAAATATCACACTAAACTTCATCTGGGTCTATCATTCTTCCCCAGTCCCAAAGAATGTAAACTGGGACATTTCAGTAAAACCTGCTGTTTAGAACTCTAGTTATTGTGAAGAAAATAGATGTCTACAGATTGACAATGTCATTGCCATATCCTTCCAACCCTTTGTGGCCAAGGGATAAAAAAAAAAAGATACAAGTCTTTTAAGTCAATTTATTGCATTTTAGTAAACTAAGTTAATATACATTAACAAACGATCCTGCCATAAAATAATATATATATATATAGTAGTTGTATACTACTTTCACAACTTTTTGGGAATTAAAACTATGGGAACATTTTATATATAGAGTACTAAACAAAAATTTTATAAAATCAAAGTTCAGTAAGTTTGCAGTAAGCTTAAAACAGACTTACACTTTTTCTTTTGAATATTAGGACAGTAGATGCCTACTAATGTGTAAAAAATACTTCTAATAACCTTGAAGGCATTTATATCTCAAAGCATTTTAGGATAGAGCCAGATCTTTGCATTTAAACAAAGAGAAAATATAAAACTTTAAAACAATTTAAAGTTCATAGTATACCTGATGTACATTTGTCAGAACAGCCTTCATTTTCTCTGGATGAACTGCAGATAGAACAAATACCATCGACACAAAATCAACAGAACTGGGGGCTATAGTGGCTGCCAGGTTGTCTTGTGTGAGATCACATAAAAATGCAAAGCATTTAGTATCATCATAAGAATGGTGGTCCTAGTAAAACAACAAAACACTATTTAGTGTTATCAGAGAAAAGTCATTGTTGTAAAACTATCAGATACATGACATGTACGAATAAAGGAGCATAAAAAGTGAGAGAAGAATATTACAACTAGCAGTCATCCCTCATCCACATATGAAATAAAATGTCAATAAAAACCACCAAATAGTATATATAATTTGATCTCAGAAAATATTCTGATTTTAACTTGAGTATTAGAGAAATATATTCTGGTAAGAATATCTTGATTTTAACTTATTAAATCATATAAAGATATCCTGATTTTAACTTATTAAATCATATAAAAACATCCTGATTTTAACTTATTAAATCATATAAAAACATCTTGATTTTAACTTATTAAATCATATAAAAACATCTTGATTTTAACTTATTAAATCATATAAAAACATCCTGATTTTAACTTATTACATCTTAGGAAAATATTTTCTAATAAAATCAATACAGAAAGACAGCATTCACTATTATCATAAATAAGATGACTGAAAAAATCAGCTATTGTGGATGCCATTTACATGCACAATATTACAATATAATATGAATAGATATTCCAAGAAAACAATCAAATAATTCTAAATATTATTCAAATGTATAGGTAATTTTACCAGAAGAACACTGATTCTGATAAAACCAATTATTATTTACATATATATTCACTTTAGCACTGAGAAGTTAGTATAACATGAGGTATGAAATATACTAAGTTCTATGCTATACATTCACAAACAAAATACTTTACTTCATGACTGAATAATTTATATTTTGCTAATTCTAAAAAAGCTATATAAACACACACACACACATGCATTATTCTTCTTACTAGCTCAGTCCAAATTATAAATCTTCACTTGAATGTTTTACGCCTAAAATACAAATTAAACAATAAAATTATCACAAAACATGCTCGGTTTTCATAATAACCAGAGTTTCTATTAATAAACAATTATCTGTGACCCCCACAATAATCTTTGAAATGCAAAGAAGCTTCCTTATGTGTATAAACTTGACATACATTTCCTTCCTTACAATATTCTGAGTAGTGGGTTATTTATTTATACATGTTAAATCTATGTCAATTTGAATAATAAAACACAGACTCAATAATAATATTTGGTTTCAATGTTTGTAAGGGGCTCTAAAGCACATAAATCAATGTTTAATAGTTATTTATCAAAACAGTTTCAAAGAGACCAGTGGTATACAAGAGTACATCGATAGAAAGTTTATTAGCCTATGGTATTTCTTATTTCCTAATCTACTATTCCATCATTAAAAGAATCAATGAGTTTCATTTACCTCCTGCTAGTTTCTGTTGTCTGCTCTTTATATGATAATCTACTTCTATGAAAGACAAGTATAAGTGAAGCAGTGTTTAAAAATACTCTATAAATCTTTAGCTCATCAAAAACATCTAACACAAGAAACCAGTTCAACTTAGAGATAACCTTTCACACCCATAACATTATCCAACAAAAACTCAAAGGAATTCAAACTAATAGCAACCACATGGCATACAGACAACAAGGGACCATTTGATCCTCCAAGAATGTCCTTGCACATCCACACTTGAGGAAAGAAAAAGTTTAAAACCACCCTTATTTTTCAGGAAATCATTGATTATACTTTTAAATTCCTCTAAGTATTAGCCTCCACTACTACTGATAACAACTTATCCCTAAATGGTTCTTTGTTTTCCATACATTATGTTAAATCTAATATACTAGCTAACCTACTGTGAGAAACTTTTTAATGAAAGCTTTCTGGAAGTCTAGATACATAACATCAACAGAGGTACCCTCACCCTTAAAAGCAAAAAAACCCTATTAAAAAACTTCAACAAATTAGTGAGGTAAGAAAAATAAAATAAAGGCATGCTGAGTTTTTCAACAAATTACAATCTTCAAAGTGCTTTTTTAAGTTACCACTGACAATGGATTTCAAAAACTTAACAACAACCAGACCCAGAGTAATTGGTCTGTAATTTCATGGGTTTTTCTAGCCTCATTTTACAAAATAGATATCACACTTGCTACATTCCAACTATCTGGAATTTCCTTTGTGTCTAAAGAATTGTAGAAGATTTCAATTAAAGCTCCCAAAACCCATTAATGAGATTAATTAGTCCTTTTTAAAGGCTTAGGGTCAGTGGTGACTCCAGGACTCTGAAAGTTGGGAGACTGAGAGATAGCAGACAGATGGAATTGAGAAAAATGGGAGAAAAGGTTTTCTTTAAGTGGAAGGAAACTAATGGAAGGTAAATTAAGAAGCTCTAGGAAAGTATGATCATTATTATTTCAGAATATTTTCATTAATCTTTGTTTTTAGTAAACTGCAAATTACCAAGATGACCAGTGTAATATTGTTTTCACTGCAAATAAATTATATTCAAGGATACGAATTGTTAAACTCAAAACTTATCTGGTTCTCCAATTCAATTTCTGTCAATTTGCAAAAATTATTTCTATAATGTGGCTAGATAGATACCTTTGAGTTTCCTTAAGTAATTCCCATTAATTCTGATTTCTAGGGCAATATATGCACTTGATATTTTTTACAATAATAGCATTCATAAATTAAAAATTAATAGTTTAATTTTGAATTTACTTACTAATTATAAGCATCATTTTATTACAAGTTACAGCTTTTACAGTATGGAAGAATATTTCTAAAACAAGTATGATGTTTCAATCACTGATGCAATCATTCTCTTTGTCATTAGCTTGTGTACTTGAGAATAATTACATCAGTGATCGAAACATCATACTTGTTTTAGAAGTATTCTTCCTTACTGTAAAAGATGTAACTTGAAATAAAATAATGAATCATAAATGTTTTTCTTAATTTTCAAAATTTTTTCAACACAAAAATGTAGTGTATACTGTTAGCTGTTTCTTAAAAATAAAAACAAGCTACATCTTTACATTTTAAAAATCAAATATGCAAATACATACACATGTAAAACATTTTTCATATGCTTAATGAGAAAATTCATTCTGAATGACTTTTGTGATGAACTTTTACCAATGCTAATAATTGTCTTAATATTTGTGGTAAATTAAGGGTACCTACAAGTTTTAAGTGTATATTCTATTTTCATTTTGAATCAAATTGATGTAATCAGTATTCATAAATCTATAAGCATTAATAGAAATATTTTATACAACATGGGGGTTTCTTACAACCACACTTATCTGTTCTACAAGATGCTTTATCAATTTGCACATTTTCTTTCACTGAGGTATCACAATGACTCTGCAAATTAATCACAAACTTGAGGGCTATATATTAGCATGAAATTCTGAAACTCAGTTAAAATTTTAAAATTCAAATACAATGTCTTGGAATAGCTTACACAAATTCAAACAACAGATACATAAAATAAAGAAATACATTAATAAGTAATAAAATAGTTTTGAATTGTATTATAAGCACCTTCTTTAGCAATTGTTGTAGCTCGTGATTCCAATTTAATATTTTCTCTGGACTCATTTGCTCACACTTCAACCTGCCTCAGTAACTGAAACTTTCTCAACTCTTAAATTTTTATTTAGTGACTGGTATCAAATATTAATCCATTGACTGTGGCTGCCCTAAATACACATGGAATTTTTGCAAGCAGTTCACCATATATGACACACATTCAACTGCTGGAGGTGACCATACCCTATACGACAAATCAGCAGTGAGTTGATTAATAAATGTTCTGTGCATATTGACTGTTATGTTTTGTGAAATGTCGTAACTAAACTATCCAAAATACCTGAATGCATTATGGCTACAGAAAAAAAAACTAAGAAAACTTACTTTTAAATACTGTATAGCTCTAGGAGAAAAATCACAAGCATAAATGAACATATTTGTTTTTTCTTCTATAAGAGGAAATATCAGGTTGCCCACTCCACATCCTACTTCTAATAAAATAAGCTTCTTCTCTTGGTTATCCTATAATGCATGAAAATAAAATCCTGAAATAATTTATGTTATTAAAACATAAATATTGTGGTGAAACTTTTTCTGGAACTATAACATTTTTTAAAGAAATAAACATAAGTTTTAATACATGTATTACTTAGAATTATAACAGGTATGATGAATACAATATACATATTCTATTGTTGGAAAAGTTAGTTCTGAAACTGCCTTTCTCACAAGTTGAAATTTATATATGTACTACACCAGTATTTTGGCATTTACCAAAATTAAAAGTTAGTTTTGAAATATACTTCTTACTCATACATTCACACTAGAAAAGATAAATTTATACAGTGACCAAGGGTGTGGCCTATCTTGTCCAGGAGACAATTATGGACAATTTTAGTTTTTGATGGAAATAATGGAAAAAATCTCATCAATAGTTTATGTGATTAATAAGTTGTTTTTTTTTAATATTACAGCAACTATTGTGACAGACAAATTAAAAAATGTGATGACGAATCTGCATGACATACTTAACTTAAATTCTATAATGAGATACACTGGGAAACAAATTTTGCACACTTGCTTCTCTGAACAATATTACATAGAATTGATTAATTGCAGCTTCCAGTCAATTAACTCATACATAATTTTATTAAAGTTTATGTATAGTTACTAAATTCTTTACTAAGGCTAAACATTTATAAAAATCCAAAGTATTTGCAAGCTATAACTCAACATTCTACTTCGTTAAGCCTTAAAAACTTTACAAAAATTGACACAAGGAAGCAAAGATTACAACTATTAGACAACGCATTATAACGTCATAGAATAAACCAATTTATGACTTAAAAGTCTAGCATTGATTTTTCCAAAAACTTAACTAATATACCTTGAAGTTGGGCAAGTTTTAAATTATTTGTTCCACTTTACACATCCATGCAACGTGTAGTTTTATTTCATATGTTCATTTCTCCCTTTCACTGTTTCAGTTTCATTAATAGTAATACTAACAACTGTTTAACTTATTGCTAACTACTTATGAAGTTATGAATACATTCATTGTCAATAGCGTTGATTTATTGGCTTCATACCAGTAGATAAAATTTTTGAATAAAGCTTGAAAGTTAACCTGAATTTTATTATGAATGCGATAATGAGACGTCAATTCTTCAAATTCACGGGTTGTCCAGTGTCTATCTTTGAAAAATTTCGTTTCATTTCTCTTATAAAATAAATCCCAATTTTTCTTTGCTTCTTTTTCTAGTTTCTTCTGTTTGAAATCATTCACGATCTGAGTGTCTTTACTTAACTTGTAAACCTCCTCCGCAGTCAATTTTCGAGCATAATGACCTTCTTCAAAATCACACTCACTGACCTCGGTGTCAAACTTGTGGTTTACACTATTATGTACGCCACGATCGTTTAATTTGACGTTTCTATCTGTAGATGGACAAGATGTCATACTTATCATTAGCTTAAATTACAGCACTATCAAATTGTACATATTATTAATAATATCGTAATATTATTATCACTTTAAAACACAGCTAAAAGTAAAATATCACGTAAACTTAAACTTTAAAGGTTTGTAAAACGAAAATTTCTCTTTGATAAAGCGCCATCTATAAAGTTTAAAATTAAAAGGAAGAACGAAAAACTGAATTCAGTAAGACATTGCTGGATTTTCAGATATATTTGACATGGAATAAAATTATAAGAGACAACCAGACAAGATTTTCCCTAGATTTCAGGGTTTTTTTTTTTTGGTTTTTATTTCAGTTTGTAGTTAAACACAAAGCTACACCATGGGCTATCTGTTCTGTGCCCATCATGGATATCGAAACCCGATTTCTTGCTTTATAAGTCCACTTGGCAGTTAAAGATTCAGGAAATTTTCAGAAAATATCTTGTTGGGACCACTGATCTGTGAGGACTCATATTATTCCAAAAAGTTTATAAATAAATTGTGTGCCCATTTTCTTCCAATACCAGTTTATAGAATAAAAGTAGTAATTAATTTCATATGTAATTATAACAACAATAAATGTGATGCTATGCTAACAGAATTTGTATGTTTACTTCGGATAATTTGAATAGTTCGTCTATTGGTCAATTTATATGGTATTGCGTAAATATTAAAAAAATGTTTATGTAGAGTAAACTCATACAAATTCGTCGTGATTATAGCACAGAAAAAATAATGACTAAAAATATCGATGTAACAGATGTAATTTACGATAACAGGAAAT